TTAATCTATATTCTTAAAGTACAAATTAAATAAGTCATCTTTTATCATATTTGATCTTATATATAGAGGATTTCTTACTGGTAGCAATTGCTTGGAGTTTGTTTTTTCTCAATTGCTTTCACTTTTGCCGATTGTTTTCATCTATTAAGCAGAATGCCCAAATCCACTTTTCAACTAAAACAATAGAGATAGATCTATTCTCACAAAAAAAATAGTAGTAAATTGCTTTACTAAATAATTAACTTAGAATAATAATCTAAAATTTAACTGTGTTACATCACTAATTACCTCACTCTTCTGGACATATACACCTTAACTCTTTCGAGGGAAGGAGTAAATGGTTGGCCAACATCAAGCAGGAGAATTAAGATAAAGAGGAATCCTCGTTATCTCTTCAAGGGAGTCACATAATAGTGTTATCGTTGTGCCATTATTTATATTATAAATTATAAATTTATCTGATGATGTCAAATATCATATTATTTTGTTTTTTTAAACAATTGATCATGAGGCAGGTCAAACTCGTCAAAAAAAAAAATGCACATTTTATCGTGACAGTTGTGACTGGGTCCAAAAGTCAAATGCCAAACATCATATTATTTAAATGAGTGATTGTAGTTAAATAACATCAAATTTAATACTATTGTAATGTAAAACATGACAATAATTCGCCACCTTTTTCCTGTATAGCAATAACTGGGCCCGCAATTGGCCTTACCGAATTATTACTTCTGCCTTTGCTTTTTTTGTTTCATTTTTTCCGAAAGATAAAATTGCCTTTTGTTTTTGGGATCCCAAATGCTAGTATTATTTGGCTTCCTATCAATTTGATTGATGTTCACTAAATTGTTAAACTATTTAATTATCAAACCTCTACAGTAAGAGTTATCGTCCTAATTATTTAATAGATTTATCTATCCAATATTTTAAGAATACAAAATAAAACTTAATTATTAAATAATAATTATCATTTTTTTCTTAAAAGTGTAAAATTTTCAATTAAAAAATAAATTTTGATTTTAATTTCAAAAAAAATAAT